TGTCGTTGTTATATATTTACGACGTGACATTGTGTGTACCGACTTTAAGTTCGTATTTTGTCCTCGTGTATTGACAATATAATTGTTTATATCTAATATTCACATTTGCAGCTTGCGATGTATTGCCGTCCAGCAATACTGGTGACATTATATCCAATGTTTCATTCCTATATGTTCCACTGCATAAATATTTCTTGGTGTTATATACAAATTTGCCGATACTAAATTTAAAAATACATTATTTTCAAATGGATCTAGCAAGATTTACAGAAAGTCAGTTACATTAATGGCCTTATCCTTAGCGTTTTGCCTACCGTTGTGCCCATGTGACCTTTCATATATCTTCCATCAAGCAAAGCATCCCTGTCATCGCCGTTCAGGGTGGTAACTACTGGAGTTTGTGTTCCTGTAATCATGATCGGATCGTGTCCGTTCGATATCCATGTGACCTCAAAAGATACATCCGGTTCCCCCTTGGGGTAAGGGATGTGACACGGAAATTTAACATTGCCAGTTGTACTGCAGGTGCTCCCAACATGGCCTTGTGCATCGACGATAATAGGCTTACCTAGGATAGGGACATGTGTCATTCTGGGATACAAATCTGAAATGAAAAACACAGTCTGAACTTAACGGTCTTATAGTTGTATTTGCTAGGTTGATATCTCTCTCTATCCCTCTATGTCCGCCTGCCCGTCTAACTCTGTTTTGTATGACGCCAGACAAAGTTCTTATGGTGACGCACTGGAGGACAATTAAGTTGGCAATGTTTATTTGTCGACTACAGAGCAGCAAAACAATGTATGAAAATCCTCAACGTCTTGGATGACCATTGACATGAATGTAATATAGAGTTGTTCAACCCTAAAGATAGAAATACTAAATAGCGTACCCTATTTCATAGACGACATTTGCCTTGTACAATGTATCAAAACTCTTCATGTCTCTAGCCGCCATATCCAAGTTTAAAAATTATAAAAATGAGGGTTCTTAATATGACTTACATTCCTTGAGAAATCTGTACAGTCGAGTAAGAACTTGTTTGAATGTCAGAGTTATAGCACTGTGAGATGAGGAATAGTCAGTCGTGGCAGGCTTGGTGACCATACCGCCTTGACATTGACGCTTAAAAACAACAATTTGTCGGAAGAAACGTTAAATCTACTTACCTGTACAATTTGCCGACCCGATGCTAGACTGTCCACGTTTGCACACTGGTTTGTTACCTGTAATGGGGTAGGTTTATATCAATTGAAACTTACTTATTTCCCTCATTTAATTCGTCACCTCTTAACTGCCAAATCATTACAAGGTCTCCTTATCACTTTCTAAACAATCTGTAGCTCATTTGTAAAGAATTTAAATCTAAGTAAACACCTTAATAGACAACAAAGAATTACAATATACTATTCTACATAGTTACATTATATATATGTTTTCGCATACAAAAACTAACCGGCACAGTAAGCCATCGGACACCCCGGTGTTCTAGGCAAATGGTATACGTTGAAACTCCCGCAGTTCTTCACCTGTATCTGTTTCGAGGCGTGACAACATGAAACATGCTTGTAGGCTGACGGTCGTTCCCTGGACAGTGGGGAGTTGACCATTTAGCCAAATAGGAATCTGTGTGCCACAGTGGTACGTAGGAACACACGACGTTGGTATATCGCCATTAGTGAAACGGTACCAGTCTAATGGCAGTGCCCTATCACAAAGAAGTCTATCCGTCCCTGTCGGCACTGCTAACGTACTTCTATGGTCCTCAATTAAGGTTTTATAACTGGTACACTCATCTGCTGACACTGAAACGACTCAAGTTACGTAACATATTATTAAAATGAATAGGCGGGAGGGAATAAAGAGGGTTATGTTTAGTTAAGCATTGAACTGTTTTGTATGGCATTTATTATCTATTTGAATGACACAGTTTTTTCAAGCAAACACATCATGAACAGTTTGACTTGTTTGCTTGCAAAGCTGTGTTACTTAAACAGATCATAAATGCCATAACAAACACAGTTTAATGTTTATGTTTACGTTTTGCCGCTTCTTTTTAAAAAAAAAATAAGTTGTTCAATATCTGGAACATCGTTCTGTCGCGTGCTTATTGGCTGCGAACTGTGCTCGTGTTACATGTCATTTACAGTCTCGTCAACGAATCAGCTTTCAAGGTTATCTAGTGATAAAGTCATTCAAATGTTAATATTACGGTTTGGACCGAAAAGTGATATTGATAAAAAAATAGCATGGTAACCTTAATATATGTATCCCACTTATCTAGAATACTCATACTTAAGAAATAACCAACGCACGAAAACCGCTTGTGGCATGATTTGTTTACAACATTTTGGAATCCCAAGTTATATTTTGAATCACAATAAACATGCACATGTTTCACAATACAGTTTCATAAGAATTCCAAGAAAAACTCTCCATGGACAAATGGATTGTGTACGGTTTCACAGTAATTAGAAGAAGCATTCTTCATGGACACATAGATTGAGTTTAGTGTTTTCTAAACATTGCACTTTATAATGATTTCTTTCTTGTTTTTAGATAGCTTTTGTATTTTGTTTTCATTTTTACCTTCCCGTCAGTTTATCAATAATACATTCCATAAAATTACACTATAACATGCAATTAAATACTTTCTACTTTATTGTGATGTGTTTTATTTTTATAAATAATTAATCCAGGTTAGGTTTATGATAAAATGTAAATTAACTCGATTAAGTTAATTGTATTACATCATAAAGATATCTTCCAATAAGGTGAACATATCTAATCGCCATTTGAACATTGAGACATGACGCACATACTTTTTTCAGCAGCTACTTTTTCAACGCCAAACGTCCGCATTATGTTTTAATATCAGGATGACAATGAGAAGGTGACAGTGGGACGTTTGTGCTCACTATTTGTCGAACATGTATATAACCAGTAACGAATTATAATTATTATAATTACTTGGCAATATGGCTGTGTAAAATGTGTATATATCATCCGACTATTTATAAAGTTGATGTGGCGGTGAAATCAAGGGTGTGAATCTGAATATTTAGTAGGGCAATCGGGCATTGTAAGATCGATGTGGATTGGACCATTTAGTAGG